AAAGAAGAAGAAAGATGAAGGAAAGAGGTCAGCATGAACTCAGTGTTGAGGGACTGGGTGGAACCAGATGGGAAACACATGCTGTGAAACACACACAGTGAGTGTAGGTGGAGTCTGATGATGACCTATTGACACCAGATGGAGGGATGACACTCTTTCCTCCCTCATCGCTGTCATTCGCTCCCCAAAATATCCATCTGATGTCATCTCACCGCTGCTTTGCTTTGCTTTGGCGGTCATGTCTGTGGAATTCTGGGTATTCGAGTTCCTTAAAAGTCTGTAGCGAGCCTTTCCAATCAGGAGGGGAGCGTACGGTAACCTCACAGGAATGCTGCGTTCAAGCCACGCCACAGAGAGTTGGTAAACAAGAGCTACCTGTTAGAACACAGTTTGTAATAGTTAACAAGACCCCTCTTCAGACTGCAAATACCACTACAGTAATGCCAAAAAATGCTTAGTAACACTGCAATAATTACTGCCAAAATTAGCTTTCAGATTGTAAATTTCACATAAAATATGACCAGTTACTTCTGGAAAAATACTGGTTTCAGATTGTAAAGATTGCCAGGTTCATCTCTGATTACCAAACAGCATCATGAGTGCCAAACTCAGGTTCAGATTCTATAAATATTTAAAATATGCTGAAAATCACAGTTTCAGATCACAAACAATATTCCATTGTTGAGATAGCAAAGTCAACACAACAGAAATGTTTCTCAACTTTGGTTTTCAGAGCACTACTACTTAAAAACTGTTCCTAAAATGAGCTTATAGGTGCTAAGTGGCACGTAAAGTACGAGGCTGTATATAGCAGACGCAATAGAAACAATGGGTTATTTCAGTCATTACAAGCTGAATTTGGGGTCATATTCAGGGTTTTTTTAGGGCTGATTCTGATATTAATCAAGAAGGCTGAACATTTGGGAGTGATGTATGATCGTACTAAAACTGAAAATCTGTGCATCAAAATTTAAAATAACAAAAATTCCAACACAAAACTTGGTTGAAATGTCTTTATTTAACTAATCAGACAGCACTGTGGGTCGACACAGCAGAGCGTTGACTACAGAGAGAGAGAAGCTGTTGCACACAAGCTAAAATGGCACATTTTTAAATTTCAGGACAGAAAAAAATCTCAATATCAAATCTTCTAATCGGCCCAACAGACAATTAGTTGATGCCTGATTGTAATCATTTTCAAGAAATGTTCTTCCATGAATACCAACTTTCCTCGTGAGACCAGAAGCTGCTGAAGGCAAACTGGACCACAATGAAGCATCAGAAAGATCTGAAGTCTTGTGAAGTCAGAGAAATCCAAGAGGCTAATGCAGATATCCTGGTCAAGCGTGGGCACAATAAGCCACATAAGAATGCAGTTTACCCGTGAAATATCTGGAGAATTGTGTTCGAACCACCTGAGTTTGTAAGCAGGTGAACTGTAGGTGCAACTTAAGGTGCCGAAAAACCTTCAGCAAAGTCTCGCCTCACCTTCACATTACATAAAGCTTCACGGCTCTTATTCAAAACGTCACAGTCACGCCCGTGATTGAATTAACGTCTTGTGGAATTCAGACGTGTCATTTGTGTTTGTGTTTGCCTTCAGGTGTGTGCTGAGTTCATGGGTGTACGTGTGCATATACGTGTCGTTAGTCTTTTGTGTTGTAGTGTGTGTGTGTGTGTGTGTGTGTGTGTTGGGAGAGTGAGATGACACAGCATGACGCCTCAGCTCCCCCGCTTTCAGAGAGGCTGAAGCGTGAACAGCTGATTGTCTCTATGGTGATGAGGAGCCTGCTCTCGACACCTGTAGTCGTCATACCCCGGCGGCGGCAGCGTCAAAGTGTGTGTGTGTGTGTGTGTGTGTGTGTGTGTGTGTGTGTGTGGGCCCATTAGGTAACACCAACAACCAAAAAATACCAAACCTTCGTAACTAGGAGCTGGGTTCTCTGTTGAAGGAGCTCAGCTTTCTAAATGACACTGAAAAGAGAATAAGAAATCATCGTGGGCACAAGTTTACTCAGCTTGACTCCAGCAGACACCGGAACACTGTGGCATGGAAACTCGGCTGCTGAAAAATGATCCAGGAAGTCCAGTGTGAGTAACAGAACCACGAGTTTAAAGGCTCAGATGCCAAAACAGCTCACAGTAGTTTATAATACTCACAGGCAGGATTGTGTAACGCATCACAGTTGTAATTAATTTATCTCTCGTTGCATCACAAGGCAAACAGTAGAAACACAGCGTTTACATTACAAAGCAACCTGCCAGGATGGTGTGTTTGCACGTGTCTGATCGGTCACTGCAGCCCTTTTTTTTTGCCAAATGACAAGGAGTTGAAACTTCCATAGCGGTCAGTGAAACAAAAATAGAACAAGTTAAGGCTGACTTAAGTCTGACACTGGTAATGTATTAATACACTGTGTGTCACTTCGCTAAAAAGTAAGCTGAGCCGGTTCTGTTGATACAACGAAGCTGTACTTAAACCGGATTTCTCAGTGAAGATGAGTCAAAGACAAATGCCAGAATTAGAAGCGCTCTGATTGTTTTCTTTAGGAAGAATAGCAAAATCAAAACATAAGAATATAAAGTTTTGAATGAATGTCCTGCTTCCAGAATCACAATCAGAACCACTCTATTGATCCCTGAGGGGAACCTGCTTCACAGTCTTACTTCAAATCCAACAATACAGGAAGGACTCTCTGTCCGTACGTGTGTGTGTCTGTTCTTTGCTTTAATCGACAACTGTTCGTCCGATCTACTTCATACTTGGCCGATGGGTTGCTTGGTACCCAAGAAGGTGCAGTGTATGATATGATTCTTAAATTGTGACGTAAAGCTGTTTTTTGTCACGCTTTCACAGCAGCAACAGATCCGTAGAGGGACTTTGTCATCAGGGCAGCTCATTGTGATTAACTGGCAACGGCTGGTTTAGTTAGCATTAGCTTGTGTTTGTTAGCAACGATGTTCACAGCTGTCCTTGTTTTTCATCGTGTGTTAGCCTAAAGGTTAGCCTGTGTTTATAATACCAGTCTAGATATTGTCGTATAACTGGATTGCAGTCCCAAACCAATGCTGTTGAAATATTGTGTTTAATATATACAAAGATTTATGCGTAACATGTAGAGAAGTATATAAAGCAATATGTGAAAATTAGACAATTGTAAGTTGATGTTAGTGGATGTTGGTAGTTATTTTTCCGTGACGCCTCATGGATACATCAGTATGAACTTGACAGAGCATTACCATTTTGCCGCTTACACACCCGCCCATAGCAGCAAGCTACCATGTGACATAAAGGTCTGACTCCTAATATAATCAGAACAAGCACAAGACTCATCAAGATGCCTGTAAAAACACTCGCTGAGAACTAAAACATGTCATCACCAACCACAAAGCATTACAAAAAAACCCTCCCATGTGATCCTGGCTCGTGTTGAATCACATCCCCTCGTGTTATTACATCATAAATCATAACTATTATCACATTAAAATGCATCCCACCAATGTTGCCGATGCGATCACGTGTGGAACAGTCCGTGTGGTAATTGCGTGGGAATAATTTGGGATTTTCCACACGTGCCGTTGATGTGGTTCTTCTGTAAACACATTGAAAGAAGCAACCAACAACCACTAATCACAATGGCTGGAGACGCCGCCAGCTGCTTCCTGCGTCAGGTGTCGTCGAGGCTGTTTGTACGTCATCACATCCACGCTAACCTCAGGGAGCCCCTTTTTAACTGTCCACAAACCTCTCACATGTGGCAGCGCTTTTATTAAACCATAATATTGTTTTTTTCCATTCAGGAACCTTCAGCTGCTTCTCTTCAACATCTTATTCCCAACAATCGCGACGCACAAAAGAAAAAAAAAAAAACAACAACGTTCTGTTAGGAAACCAGTATTTCAAGTTTTGCCGGGTGCAAATAGTTCAGCAGGTGTGACCAGCTGTGAGTGTACAGGACGTGGTGTTCGTTTAGACGTTAATAACTACATTTTTTTGTCTGTCTTGGTGAGTTTGTAGTCAAACAGCTGACTCGCAATTTGTTTCAAATGAGTCAGTGGTGGATTCTGGGAAAGGGTTGGGTAAGGATGACCAGGACTGATGGGAAATACATCAACACACACACACACACACATACACACACGCCCAGCACACATACACACAAGTTCCAGATTGTTATGTATTTTATTGCTCTGGCAACACAGTAGTGACAATCGTGCCAATGATGAATGTTTGAATTTAAGTGAGTAGAGAGAGAGAAGAGAGAGACACACACAGAGAGATTAAACAAAGGCAGAAAGACAAACAGAATTTTGTTCAAAAATAGCCCCAGGTGCTGAATTTTTGAAGACCTCAATTTTTTATTTTTTTTTTGAATAATCTCAGTTTTCAAAATAAAACCACACAAACTGGGCAACAGAGGACAGAAAGAAGGAGATGCAGTCTTTTACAGCTGTCTAGTTTTTCCACATTTGCACTTCTATACTTGCAAGGACCCTCCTTGACACCCCTAACCCAAACTATCACAACTACATGCCCGACCTTCAACCCCAACATCCTGACCATCTCAGTGGACAAGGTTTCACACTGAAAACCTAAAGACAGAAACACAACAGCACACACTCACACTGCTGCATGCTGTGCAGCTAAACAAGAACAAAGACCTCCTACATTGACAAATTTGTCCATTACCTAATGGAAAAATTGAAATGTACGTTTAAAAACGTAATTTTCTGCTGTTGTGCAAACCCAAGCTGAAGTGCTATTAGTGGTATAAAACTATCATTATTACATGTTAATGCCGAAACCATGCAAAGCCCCTAAGCTCCCAGTAAAGGAATCAGCACCCAGTGCCATATTTCTGGGTCAGCTGCAAGATCATTTATTCATTCGAAGCCCTGGAATGGTTCCCAGTTGTTCTCAAGATGATCAACAAAAGCTCTAAGTTGTGTGTACTTATCAGCATGCTACTTTTTCTGGTAACTTTTTGGAAAGTTCTGACCTGAAATGTGTGATAATGACTCCTCCTGAAACTCCTTTAAAGTCTCCAACGTCCAGTTATGATCCAGAACACGGTGCGCTCACCAGTTTAATCTAACCACAAAGACTTTAAGGAAAATCATCTTTACCACAGAATAAGGAAGTAGGTCAATTACATCACCTCCGGTTGACCAACCACTAGGCTGCCGTGATGACTGCTTTGCTCTCCACCAGCTGGTCATCCTGAAATGTGGAGGCTTTACTGGAAACGTAACGTACTTCTGTTTATATGCGTGCGAGCATCATTGCGATACTGTGTTGTTGTGTGCTGATACAGTTTAATTGAGAACAACGAGGCCGCTGCACAGCACTGACCCTCGCTCATTATTCATTCCTTGCAACTGCACACTCAGCAAAACGTTGAAGGTTACAGCTGACTCAATAAGGTGCTATAGTAGGAAATAGTCGAATTAAAGCATCCCACACTTGTCTGCGGTCTGCTTGGGGATTCAGTCTCTTGTGCTATTTAGTCTCAAAAGACGCTTCACTGTCACCGTGTGCAAAATATTAAAGGTTTGTGCAGCGATCGTCTGAACGCAGCAGCATTGAAAACTACACTGTAAAAAACAATTATTGCAAAAGAACTGTGAGAATGTCAGCAAGGGAGCCAGAAAAATATGTTTAAAAAAAACTGTGAAATTCAAAAAATTACAAGGACTGTGAATATAACTGCAAATGTCTGTTTTACTGGTTAATTACAGTCACACTTTTTAATATTAGATTTTTGATGTGAACATTATTTACATTTGTTTTTACAGTCAACATGTAAATGAATACTTTATTTTTTACTATTTTCCTCCTATATTTTAATGTATAATAAACATAATGAACATAACTGACTTCAAAATAATAGTAAATATATGTAAAGCAATATTTTTGCTAATTTAAATACAGTAAAAAAAACAAAAAACAAACATAAAATAGTGTCATTTTGGAGCCCAAATTTGTTAAAAGAACAAATTAATATTTATTAAAATACAGATTTTTGATAGGATGTTATTTTCCATTTTATTAATTATTATTTATGTCATTTATTCACATTATTTATTTTATGTTGTCTGTCTTTCTTTCTTTTCTTTTTTTTAATAATGGACAGTTTATTGTTTAAAGTTAAAACTTTCTTTTTTTTTTACAGTGTAGGTAGCTACTAACTACAGCAGACAGGAACTGCAATAAGGATAAACAATCATAAAGTGGAAAAAAAACAACAAAAAAACACACATTTCAAAATTGAACCAGAAAATGTAAATAAATACTTTGTATCATTGTAGGTGTTGAGCTGTTTGTAATGTGGTGACTGTAATCACGGTGACTCACATCATATTCATCGAACTATTCAGCAACTTCTCATGTACTGCATGGAAGCATATGTTTCTCTACTCAGTACATTTAATACACGACAGGATTCCTGGACATGATCTAATTATGCTCCTTTTGAACTCTACTGTGACACACGTCTTCTGCGTCCCTGAAATCATAATGTTCCGCCCCTCAAACTGCCATTTAACCTGCTGATATTTACATCCTTTAGCAAGCCCTCGAGGAAACAGGCTGCATTTGTTGTTTCCCTCCTCTTAGACTACAGCTGAGAGGGCAGCAGTTTTATACAGTTGTTGCCATCGCTGTCAAGTTTGCTCAAGCCTTAATTGACAGCAGACACTCGCTTGCTGTAAATCCACAACAATCCACTGTTTTTTATGAGTTAATATTTTCAATACTTGCAGCCAGTTTAAAGTTACTATCCCAGCTGTCTGCCACCTGTTTGCTTTGCGTGCGTTCGCTCACTCTGTCCGCATGCAAACATGTATTTCCATTTAGGTTGTTGCCGTGCGTGGGGCTGCGAAAACAAACTGGCTTTATGCTGATGATGATATCAGCGCAGCCGAATGCCGCTCGTACCGCCTCTGGAGGTTGTCAGGGGCAACTGCATCCTCGCTGGCTGTCAATAAACCCGGCGTGGGTGCAGTTACCCCTGAATTATTTTGCTGTTTAGCTCTATCCAAATACTGTGGTGACCTGTAATTTGAGCCAGTTCAAACTGTTTGACATCCACGTTTATTCTGCGCTCCGGACCACAAATTTGCAACAAAACGGCACCAAACAAACTCTCGCCCCGCGTTTGGTTGGTGAATCACTGAACTACTCCGCCTGTTGTTTCATTTGATCTTTTGTTCTGTATATTTAGTTTATTGTGAGCAAGTACTGTGTTGATAAAAGCCACATTTCCCACCGGGGAGAGTAAAAATCCTCGAAGCCATCGACTCGCCCGACACCCCTCTGCACGAGCAACTGGAGCAAGACAGCTGCAACAATATCAGAGGAAAAGAGGTTGAGGGAGTACGGATGGGAATGAGGAAGAGATGGAGCGAGAGGGACCGAGAGGGAGAGAAAGAAGAGGTCAGCGGGGTTCTATTTTTATCTTTCCAGAGTCGCGTCTCGGCTTGAATGGAGGCAACGAAGAATTGTGTTGAAAGGCGCGTGCACACAAATTATTTCATAACCTTGGCAGACAGCAGGCTGCTGAAAGATTTCTGTATGCGGAGTGTTTGTGTGTCCTTGGGTGTGTGTGTGTGTGTGTGTGTGTGTGTTATCACAGAGTACTAAGCCATCCTCACAACCTCGCTAGAACTTGACTCTGGAAACACGTCTCCTTGTTGCAGCATTTTGTGCTGTTCTGATTGTTTTTTTTCTGTGTTTTTTTTTTCATGATGTCTTGTCATGTTTTGGCTTGTAACGCTTAAACTACTTTTGTGCTCCCTTTGTAGTGTTTATAATACAGTGTGTGTGTGTGTGTGTGTGTGTGTGTGTGTGTGTGTGTGAGCACGTTGGGGCAGGTATTCTTTTACAGCGATCTAACATACTTTTTTTTGTCCACCGACCACAATGTCTGTGTCAAACCAAAATCATCTCAGTCTGATGGTAATTTAGCTCCCTGGAATGTGTGTGTGTGTGTGTGTGTGTGTGTGTGTTTTACAGCTGACTTCTAGTTCTGGTTGTGGTCACATTGAAATTCTGTCCTCCCCTGCAGTTCCA